TTATTTAAACACAATATATGCACTCCACTATGCTGTTGTAGTATTTACTGTATCCGAAGCACTTAATATGATTGCTCATATTTCAAGCAATTTTTTTCCCGGCCCCTTGCTTTGGATCATTTTCATCAACCGGCCCCCATTCCAAACTAATTGAATAGCCCTGGTGTATAGTAAATGGATTTTTTTTTTAAACTAATGCATGCCTGGAAGTCCGTTTGTGTCCAAGTGTGCAACACAAACCGAGTAATGCAGACAATTATTTTCGAGCTTCTCTTGTAGGAAACTTGCTTCCATGTCTAAAGATAATATTCTATCACTCAATTTAATTTCTTGGCTTTTCAAATATGGACTAAGGATTTGTAGTCAACCTGGTTACTGTAAAAATTGAAACAAATAACATCGGAAAGGAAACGTTGTGTCCGCCGCTGGCTATCCAAACATCACTAGTATTATTCACTCACCAGAATGGGACAGGATGTGGGCTTTGAGTTTGTCCGGTCTGTTGAATTCTTTGGTGCAGCCCACATGTGTTCTGATTTTAAAAACAAAGCATTACATTTAATAACTTCAATAAGATTATTAGAAAGGAAATAATCTAATGACATGAAATGCCTGAGCAAGGATTCATAAGGCTTGAATGATAAAGGAATGAACTAAGGAGAGGAAAAAGGAGTTACCTGAAGGGGCACCTGTATTTCTTGAAGGGTTCGTGGATGAGCATGTGCCGCTTCACCTTGTCCTTCCTGTTGAATGTCGCCTCACAGAGGGAGCATTTGTACGGCTTCTCCCCTGAAATATGGAATCAACATTTAAGCCTTTACTTTCATCAATGACTTGTACAGTTATCACTTTAATGAGGTGGCCTACAACTGGGGGGAAACGCATAGACTCTGTATAAAGGGTGAATGTAAGGGTTTGCTCTGGTAAAATTGAAATGCTAACATTTTAGCCAAAGCTACAAGAGATGTGAGTAAAAGAAAAAAAGCCTCTCGCGCAACCCTTCTTGATAGACTTTGAGTATGATCATATCAGAATTGGCATATTTAAATATGTTTGTTCTGATGAATAGCCTAGTTGTATAGTTTCAAATATAACTGTAACTACATCCTCTCTTTACAGCTTAGATGGCTTGTTGTGTTTTTGGAAATCATGTGATTATGAGCAGATGTGTTTCAAGTGCATTTTGTATGCTGCAAATAGCTTTTTATATTTGTTTATATTTAATTTAGACAACCAGATATAGTGCAGTTAGTCTGATTTAGTTGATCTAGAGCTTACGTGCTCATCATTTGGGAAAATGGTAGTTAGAATGTATGTCCTTTGGTTGACTTAAGTCTTAAATATCAGCGAACTAGACCTGACTTTGCTACAACTCGTCACAGTTCCAGACCTGAGTGAATGCGTGTGTGCAGTTTGAAGTAGTGCTCTGTCTTGAAGGCTTTCTTGCAGATCTGACACTTGAACCTCCCCCCGACGCCGTGAGTGGAGAGGTGGCGTCTGAAGTACCTTTCACACGGGAAAACCTGGAGGCCAATGAGAAAACAGATCATACACAGCACGTATATCTTAAAAAGCGAAATACTACATCTTTACAGAGTGTGTATTGTACCTTTTGACAGTGAGGGCAGGGAAAGTTGTGTGTGGCCGTGAGTAGATGTTGTTCCAGTGCATCCTGGGTAGAGTATCTGCTCTGACACTTCCCACACCTGAGGGGAAATGAAAACATAATTTTTACTTCTGGGTTTTGTCTTATTTTCCTGAGGAGCTTAACTAACGAGAGAAACTTTTCACACCGAGTTGAGGGACGAGGCTGACCTGTAGATGGTGGGCTCCTTGCGGGTGCTCTGCTGGGGGCAGAAGCAGTGAGAGTACTGGTGGACCCCCAGCTCGAACAGGGAGGGGAACACCTTGCTGCAGAGGTGGCAGCGGTAGGTCAGCTGCTCCTGGTGCGTCCTGATGTGCTCCAGGAACTGATCCAGCTTCTGGAAGGTCCGGGAGCAGGACTTCATAACACACTTATAAACCTGCAGGGAAGGGTAGGTGGTCATTCATGTTGTAAAAATACAAACGTAGGATATTTTCTAAATATCCTATCCCATTTTGTCCGAATGAAGGATACTTTACTCATATCCTCTTCCTAATGCATACCCTCAGCTTCATATTACAAACATGACTGAATAAAAAACATGCAAAGACAGACATTATGCTTGATAAATGCATGACAGTAGAGTGGTGCAGTGATGACTAGTTGTGTATGTGGACCAGGAAGTTTGCATCGCAAGGGCTCCCTTGACCAAAAGCGTCATTTTTCCATAACATTTTAGAATATTGCAGGAAATAAAATCTGTGGCAAACACATGTTTAGGATCCTTACAAGTTTTGTCCAGGAAAATCTCCACATGTCAACACCACTTTTAACATTTTTCAAAGTAAATAGCTAAAGTTACGCTATAAAGGAACCACTTGACGTCACTACTGCTAAGCTTAAGGCGGCTAATTATTGTCGCGTTGACATTTAGCAGTCCTATTTAGTCACTTGTTTCAAGACGTTAAAGACACAAATATGGTATTTTATGTGGTAGTACAACAAGGTCCAATGTCATGGCCTTTCTACTGAACATAATTCCATTGTTGAGGTCCAAATGTTCCAAACTCACATTGGTTTCTCATACAGCATCTCTGTATAGTATGTGTGTTCACTCTCTGTCCTAAACGGCTTGTTGGAGCTCCTGCCCCCCCCTGTGAGCCCACTGTGCTCTGATTGGTCAGCTCGCCCACTCTGTTCTGATGAGTCAACCACCGTTATAGCGGAACATCAGTGATTATGTGTTACAATGGCGTTTGTTAGCAACCAGAAAACGACACCAGTAATGACAAACTGATGAGAATGCTGCGTGGTGTCTGGGTGCCGTGTTGGTGGGACGTTGCGGGCGTCGACTGCTGGAGCGGACAGTGTGAGCTGGCTTGCTGCGGGGGATCTGCGAGACAGCGAGAACCCAGCCTGAACCCAGCCCGAGCACACACACACACACCTGCAGCCTGGCTGTGAGTCTGCGTGTGTGCTCAGAACGAGCCCAGGCCNATCACACACACACACACACACACACACACACACACACACACACACACTACACACACACACACACACACACACCACAAAGCGGATCGTCTCAATAAAAACCAGGGCACGCGACACTGTCCACAGTTGAAAATATGACTTGTGTCGGCTCTCTTGACACATGTTACTTTTTTTACACTATCTTTTGTCACAGGCGTACGACCCAATAGACTTCACACTTACCGATCACACACACACACACACACACACACACCGCACACGCACACGCCACGCACGCACACCGTTTGTACACTTCCGACACGTTGTCCTGTCGTACTGCACCCCACTTCCGACACCAGTAAGATTGCCTGTCGTGTCCCGAACGTCGACACAGTCACCCAGCATTCGCGTCGTGACTGGTTTACTATTTGATTGTGCGACTAAAGGGGAAACCACACACACACACACACACAGCACACCACACACACCACACACACACACACACACACACACACACACACACACACACACACACACACACACACACACACACACACACACACACACACACACACCTATGCATACTTACCACATAGGTGCATTTGGGCTGGAAGGCGTAGGTGCCGCAGGTGTAGAGGTGTGTGTGGTTGTAGCTCTGCAGGAAGCGGATGTAGTTGAAACACTCGGTCTGTGGAGAGGAGGAGGAATTGTTTGAAAGCTGCTGTTTTGTCCTCTGTTGAGGTGAAGCCCATTGCACCATGGAGACTCTGTATGCTCACACACACCTCTGAGACTCAGCTTAACTGCAATGCTTCAATGCGACTGCTTTTGAATCTTCATAACCTTGAGACAAGACCGCGTTACTCATGATTAACTTTTAAAACGTGTGAAGTCAGTGAGCGATGGAGAGGATCTCTTGGCAGCGCCATTCTTATATATGTGAATGAACAAATGGTGCAGAAATATTAGGGACACTGAACATTTGGCAGCCTCCAAGAACAGTCATTTATTTGGAGTATGTTAAGTGTTCATTGTTATAATCGACCAAGACCCACAAGACTTTTTCTTAAACATCCTTTTTTAAGGATTGGGATATAAGAAACACATCATTATGATTTAATTATGTGATTTCTTATGTTTGATTGCATCTAGTGGGTCTATTTCTTCCATAAAAAGTACTTTAAAAGGCACCATTTAAAATACATTAAGTTCCTTTATCATCTCCTGACAGCATGTCTGACTCCCTCTCAATATTTTTTATATAAAAGTTCTGCCTCACTTTCTGTTTCCTGAAATATGGAAAATAAGATGTTAACTCCCTCCCTAAAAATATGTGTTTAAAAGGCTTACAATGGACAAAACACACATCTAAATAGTTAATGTAATCTAGTTAAGACTCAACATTAATAGAAAAACATCCAATGAAGAACATAAACAATATATATTTATACATTTGATCATTTAAGTCCCTCACAGCCATACTTGTCAACCCTCCCGATTTTCGCGGGAGACTCCCGATTTCATTGCCCTCTCCCGGTTTCCTCCCGGGGTCATATTTCTCCCGCATTTCTCCCGATTTCTGACAAAATCAGATTTACTCAGGACTGTTTCCACTCGGACTTTAATACAGCTACACCATTGTTTGGTTTCCATGGTAACACGTCTCTTTAGTAGCGCGCGCAACTGAAAGTCTGAGAGGGTGAGGCAGATAGCCACAGAAAACAGAACAAAGATTGAGCAAAGACACCCATTAAAGGTTGACATTGTCACTTATATACGTGGCACCTCCGTTCTATAACAAAAACGAACGTCGCTTACTCTCGAAGTACCCGTCACGGAAATTACTCCCGATGTAGTAGTTCCGTCTCCACGACTTGACTTGTGTTGAATAATGTATAGACATTCGTAGTACACACTCGTAGACAAAGGTTAGGGTAAGTTCTCGAAATAACAAGTACTTCGCGTCTGTGAATTTCCCGTGACGGGTACTTTTGCGACGTATATAATGAAACAATTAATGGGTTTTTGACAACTATGGCCTTGTGAGGCTCATCAGGGGAAGCCAGCGTCTTACATTGTCTCCAATACATCTATTTACCCCTAATGGGTGTAGTAGATAATTACTCTACAGGACAGCAAGACTCTGGGTACTTTAATACGACCGACAGGAGACACCTCCTGTACTGTGAGTTCGGAGTTAAATTTGTGGTACTCCCGTGAAATAGACTCGGTTTCATACACACTCCTTCAGGTAGGACTACAGAGGTCACTACATTGTGTGTGTTCCGTGTACACGACAGACGTCTTTTCTCCCTTTGTCGTCTTTAGTGTAAAATGACATCACGGACACTCGTATGAACGGGTTGGGAACTCTGGAGTCTTTAGCCCTCGTAAAATTTTACGTTTTACCCCCCCCCACGATCACCTAGCGGCCTCGACAATTCTTGATGTTATATTTCGCTGGTACAATTCTACAATTAGATTCAGTTACGGAACCCCGGACATCGTGGTAGGATGATACTACCCTCGTATACATCCACCCGTCCTTCCTCCCACTCGTTCGTCTCTATACNAGGTCTACCCCTTGGTCTCTTCCCAGCTGGACGTGCCTGGAACACCTCCCTAGGGAGGCGCCCAGGTGGCATCCTAACTAGGTGCCCGAACCACCTCAACTGGCGTTGAGGTGGTTCGGGCACCTAGTTAGGATGCCACCTGGGCGCCTCCCTAGGGAGGTGTTCCAGGCACGTCCAGCTGGGAAGAGACCAAGGGGTAGACCTAGAACCAGGTGGAGGGATTATATCTCTTCGCTGGCCTGGGAGCGCCTTGGGATCCCCCAGTCAGAGCTGGTTGATGTGGCCAGGGAAAAGAAAGTTTGGGGCTCTCTGCTGGAACTGCTACCTCCGCGACCCGACCACGGATAAGCGGTAGAAGATGGATGGATGGATGGAACTCTGTAGCTAATAGGATGTATAGTCACTTTCCAGCCAATCACATTACTGCGCCCCATGGTACCTAACAACCAGGCAACTGGGTCTAATTTCCATACCATCATTGAATATTGGCAATTACCTGTTTGAACTTCCTCCTCTTCTGTTTGTGTTGGACAGTGCTGCTGCTGTGGCTCCTCCTCCTCTTCTTCACCTTGCTGCTGCTGCTCCCCGCCCACTTCCTCCTCATTGGCTGACACTGGTACCACCTTCAGTGTGATTGGTAATCTGGACACTGTGCTGGCCACACCCCCAGGCCACACCTTTAACATAGAGACAGATGTTGATTTTCTGGCACTATGCTGCATTCAGTACTCATGGGAAATGCTTTCTGATCTCTTTTATCAGTGTAGGATATCAAAATGTTCTGGTTTCAGTGGGGGACTGTGTTTAAGCTAACGTTATAAGCAATCTGAATACACCTCAAGTCTGGCGGTGACTGTCGTTAACAGCTAGAAGTGAGAGGCCTGCTTTTTGCCCATCTGAAATGCAAGACTCAATTCAAAAATGGCTATGAATCCTGCATCTATCACTATTGGAAACTGTGATGTGGCAAGAACAAAAAGGCAATTAGCATATCTTTGAGCTAGCGTTACCTCAAATCTAAGACAAACCGTAGATTTTTATAAGAATTAGTTTTCTTAACTTTATCCATCATTTTATAATTTCATCCAAATTGTGGCAAGAGTGGACACTTTAGTAAAAAAAAACTAAAATGTGTGTTATCAAAAACGTTTTCTCACCTTGTGTGTCTGCATGTGTTTCTTCACGTTGGACTTCTGGGCGAAAGCTCGACCACAGACGATGCACTGAAACGGTTTCTCTCCTGTGTGACTGTGGACAGAAAAGGGTCATTACTGTGAGGGAATTGAGTGGCTTTCTTCTAGGTACAATGTTTATTTTTAGATGGATAGAGTCGACCATTACAAATTCTAACTCACCTTCTGATGTGCTGCTGAAGGTCAAAGTTTTTCGAAAATATTTTGTCACAGAAATTGCACTTCAGCTTTGGAAGTTTTCCCTTCAGCTGCTCTGCTGAGGAAGGAAATCAAGTGGGTGAGTATTTATCCTATCATCATTTTTACAATTAAAACTGCGTGCTAAAAGTTTAACTAATCAATACTTGTTTTTTATGCAATGAATACAATGTACAGTAGAGAGCTTGTGACACATCTCAAATATCCTCTATGAAAGACTTCGGTCGGAATACTAAAAAAAAGCTGGTCTTGCAATGAGTGTTGATGTATTTCCTCTCCTACCTGTGGCTCCATCAGGGATCTTCTTGCTGCTCCTCGTCCTTTTGGGGATGATGACCTTTTCAAAGTGGCCCAGCTCTGTGAGGGTGGTGCTGATGCTGCAGGTCTTTGTTTTGGTGCACTGCTTCCCGGGGCTGTAGACCGGGGGGGTGTTGAAGGACTGGCTCTCCACACACTGACTGGGCACCTGAGGGAGAAACACACATGCTCAGTGCTTTATGATTTCAGTCTTCCTCATACTCTGGACTTTGACACTTTACACTTTCCTCTGTCTGATAATCCTACGCATTTCCGTACAATACTACCACTTTTAAAACTGAAGAAGAAGAAGATTAACCTTTATTGATCCCCCTAGGAGGAAATTTAGTTGCTGATGAACTGCGCAGTTCATCCAGTTTCACAGTACTTTTTCTTATTGTATTTCCTTTAATGTATAACTCAATTTTTTTACACTTTTTGACATTTAATAATAGTTATTTTTCATTATATCTTTTAATCTTAAATAAAAATAATATCTGCTTCTTTTTAATCATTCCACTGGTTTATATACACCATCATTTGGAGTTTTCTTAAAGGGGCAGTTCATGTTTCTACGTACGCTCCAACTACCTAAAACTCCCATCAAAACAATATGGATAAAAAGCATTAAAACGATTAGCTATACAAGAGAAAACACATAATTTCTCACCCACAAATATGTAGATTTGATTTAGGGTGAACTGTCCCTTTAATGTACTTCCTTCCGTTACCACGAACAGAAATAGCTTACATTTTGTTCTTGTGCAACACCTAAAAGTCTGGAGATATGTGGTGCATAACATATGTAATACTAAGCTGTTGAGCTGCACTTACTTGTACAGGATGGAAAGGCTGCAGACCCAAGGTGTGGATCTCTGCCCCCCCACCCCCCACCATATGGGGCAGCGTGCTGTACACCTGCACCACCGAGTTGCTGTGGCTCGCCGGGACCTGTGAGGAGAGCGGCTGCTGGGGGGGCTGTCCGGACGGCAGGGGGTGGGCCGGGGTCTGTGTGTGGGGGTGTGAGGACTGCTGCTGCTGCTGTTGTTGTTGTTGCTGTTGCTGTTGCTGTTGCTGCTGTTGTTGTTGCTGCTGGGCGTGATGATGATGATGGTGATGATGGTGCTGCAGGTACGATACACCAGCTGCGTGCATGCTCAGGTTACTCTGTAACAGCAAAGAAAGCAGATTTGATTACAGAACAGCAACATTGATGAAGCATATAATGTAAACGAGAATGATTCCTAATGCACGTTTTTGTCCGAATATCATTGCTCTGAATATCACGTCACACTTTACAAACTAGAAATGATCATTTAAAGTTTATTTTTGAAGAATTTGTGAAAAAAGGAAGCTCTGGGGCCTCATTTATAAAGCCGTGCGTAGGATTCACGTGGGAAGGTTGCTTACGTAGTAGAAATCCAAAAAATAGGTACAGAAATGTTCCGACATTTTCCGATTCACCAAACATTGCGTACCGGTGAGGAAAGTGTGTACAGCACTTCCTACGCCGGTGTCAGTACCATATGTGTTCGCCCTACCATATGTGTTCGGGGCGGGGTCCGTCGCTTACCAATGACGTCACGCATTGTGATTGGCTGTACGGTAATCGCACGCTGATTGGTGTAACCAGGGGTAGGCCGAACACATATGGTACCTACACCGGTTTCCCTTTATAAATCACAATCGACTCGAAATGCGGTGCAGCTTTTGCGGGCTTCACGTAACGCCCATATTTGCCTATAAATAGTCAAAGAAACGCCCTTTCATTCATTCATTTTGACTAGGCTTGTTTGAGACAAGCGAGACCTGCGCAGACCTGCGCAATTTCGATCAACGTCTTGCTCGTGCGTTGCATGATGGTTAGTCATTTTGTCCGACTTGCTCTGGAGGCTCGCTCACATGAGACGTTGAAATCTCGCGGGACAAAGACGCCCGCAGCCTTGAGAGGTGCGGCGAGGCGGCGCAGTTCCTCTCCACGGGCTGCGGAGGCGAAATGCTTGATGGGAAACGACTCGCTGGTATCTCGAGCTGAGCGCTCATTGGTGGTTTTTACCCCGTGCTGCTGATGAAACTCTCCAATTGGCTCGGCAAAAGTT